TAGACAGCTTGTTGAAAGGCAGCGCATTGGCCCCAGATCAGATCTGCTCATCAGCGACTCCCACGCACATTAAAGACTGAGGCGTGCTGGTCTGCACTGCAGCCCAGTGTCCCCCAATCTGACGGATGGTCTGGGTCACCTGGAGAACCAACAATGGTGCCACCCAGATGTACTGAATGAAAATCTCTGGGGCTTGAGTCTAGGATCTATTTCTTTTGTTTTTGTTTGCTTAGTCATGTGTAACTGATATATAATAAACTGCACACATTTACAGGGTGCAACTTTTTTTGGAGACAGGGTCTTACTATGTAGTGCAGGCTGGCCTCGAACTCACAGTGATCCCCCTGTCTCTTAGTCTCCTGAGTGATATAGGCCACCACACCTGTTGGAAGGGTATAATTTGATGTGCATAAGCATGCTATTCTATATAACATTTCTTACTCTACGTATGAAGGCCAGGCTCTCTATTTCATGATGCCTCCCTCCCCTGAATGTTTCCTGGCACCCTCTCCTCTCCGGTCTGTTTCCTGGAATTATAGATTAGTTTGTGTTTTCTAGAATTGTATATAAGTAGAGTGCTAGAGTCTGTACCATCTATGGGCTGGCTTCTTCCAGTCAACAGAACTGAGGTTTATTTGTGTTGCATGGATCAGTTCTTGCTGGCAGGTTACGGCTGGGTAACATTTCACTGTGCAGATAAACCACACTTGGTTTACTCTTTCTTCTTTGGGCAGACACTGAGTGTTTTCAGTCTGAGGCTTTTATAGAAGAAATTGCAATGAACATTTGTGTATAAGTCTTTGTGCTTCTGCACCCCGTTCTTCTCACTGATCTTCAATCACCCATGGGTTTTCCTTTTTTAGAATTGTAAGAGATTTGTGTTTGCCTTATGTTTTTGTAGTCAGCCTTGAGGATCAAAGCTACCTTTATACAGAAGAGAATTGGGACTGTGGCCTCTTGGTCAATGCCCGGAAAGCATTTAAATAGTTCTTTGAAACTTTCAAGAAGTTTACTGTAGACACAGCTTTAAAGTAGTGTTTTTGACTACTTTCTGAAATTTTCTACTGGTATTAATCTTCTTTTATTGAGATTATTTTCCCAAGTTTCAAACCAGCATATTCATTATAATTATTTTGTCTATATCCATGGTTGTAACTCTTTCCTCTTAGGAGTCTTTTTTCCTCCTGTTTGTCTTGACAGTTTAGTGACTTTGCCTCTGGCCCCAAACTTTCCGGTCAGCTAGTCTTGACTCAGGAAGAACATTACTCAGCTACCAATAGGTCATATTGTCAGTAACACAGAACCAGTGATGCATTTATAAACTATTTAGAACATGATCTTATCAGAGAGGAAAGCAGTAGCAACAGTATCATCCATGTGAAAATACCACTATAAAACATGGCATGTTACCTTTAGATGTGTCCATTTTTTAATTACATTTTTTTAAATTTTATTTTGAAGGTAGTAAAATACAGCAGAACAAAGCCAATTGAGACAATGCAGTGAAATTGGTACAGAACTTCACAGCAGGACACCCTCACTACATAGTTGAGGCTGACCTTGACCTCACTCTATAGTTCAGGCTGGCCTTGAATTTGTGGCAACCCTCAGCCTCCTGAGTTTTGGGATTACAGGTATATGTGGCTGTGCCTGATCTTTTAAAGGTATCTAATAAGTCATCATCCATATATTATAATGGCATATACATGAGTGTACATATGTGTATGACATGTATGTGTATACATATACACACAATTGTGAATATATTCTCCACTTTATTTTTGGTTTAAAATAAATCTTGAAGCATGATGACATACATCTGTAATTCCAGCACTGTGGGAAACAGGTAGGAAGATTGCATGTTTGAGCTTAACCCGGCCAGTTTAGCAACTTAGTGAGTCCTTGTCTCAAAATAAAAAAATAAAAAGAGGGTTAGAGATGTGCAAAGGCCCTGGAGTTCAATCTTGAGTACAGGGGGGAAAATTCTAAGATTAATTTGGAATGATATAATTGAGTTCAAGGCCCTTCTTTAAAAATTCAGAATTGCAATTACTATCTATTACTAAACTATTATAATGCATATTTTACTAGGATATCAGGATATTCAGTATATTTTAACTCAATATAAGATAAATACAAAGTAATGCTTTAAACCTTCAAAGTGGAAGCCTGAAGTAACAGTAGTTACTTTTTTTTTATTTTTTTATCCTGTTTTAGATGTAGCAATAGCTTCTTCAAATTCCTAGTGAAAATCAAATGTCAATGGTGTAATGAAATATTTTTCTCATTCTGAAGCTTATTTTCTTTGCTCTTCTGTCCAAGAATCTATCTGCGTATCCAGGACCTCTAACTTCTCTGATGTTTTCTGCCGCCTGTCAGTAAATTCCTTCAAAGGGCAGCCCTTTGGAAGGGCAGCACGGTGTCCTGCATAAGAACACGACTCTGGCCTCAGACGGCCTGCTTTGGCTCTTTAGCTCTGCCACACACCAGCTGTGGAATATATGGCTGGTGACTTCCCGTGCCATCCATCGGTGAGAGACAAGCCATGTGTGACCTCTGTTCTATGGCAAGGTGCTTGTCCTCTGGCTAAGTATTGTTTCTGTTTTTTTCTTTCTTTTCTTTTTTGTCTTTTTTGAGCCAGGATCTCGCTATGCAGTTCAGGCTGGCCTTGAACTCACTGTGTAGCCCAGGCTGATCTCAAACTCGCAACCAGCCCTCTGCCTCACCCCCCTAGTGCTGGGATTACAGGCGTGAGCCGCCACGCCTGGCTTGTTTCTGTTTTTTCTACCACCACCTCCCCACTCACAGTGGTCTCCACATGTCTGACCTCCTACTTGTTTCTGTCGTGATATATTTCATCTGTTATCCCATTCTAATCACTTTGTCTTCCTCCTCATCAGAGCGTCTTTTGTAAATGGGGCATCAGTCAGGTCCATTTGTAGCCCACAGCCTTGCCCTGCTCCTCTTACCCCAGAATCTCATCCCAAGCAGAACATCCCACATCTACAGAATATTCTACAGAATGTTTCTACAGAACATTCAGTAGGAGCTGAAGACTACAACTTAACCTGGAGATGTCTCTGAAGATACCATTTCAGGACTACACGGTCCTGAACCCAGTAATGACTGATACACTTCATGATGATTTCCTGGAAGTCCGGGAGGGACTCTAGAGAAACCAAGGCTGCCCATATCTTCATCTCCATCTTCTCCAGATTCTCACTGCTGGCTTTGCCAAAGCCTGCACCTCCCCAGTCAAGCCATGCCTGATTTTGTCATCCATTTTTTGTTTGTTTTGAGACAGGGTCTTGATATGCAGTCCAGTCTGATCTCTGCCTTCCAAGCACTGGGCTTACAGGTGTGTGCCACCACACTTGGGTTTACCATTCATGTTTTTATGCCTTTGGTGTTTTAGCTCCCTAATCCATTTTTTGTATCGAGACTCGAACTCAGGACCTCAGGCTCACCAGGCAGGCACTGGGCCACTGAGCTATATCCCTGGCCTAGTTGCCCCGTCCTTGAATACATCCTTCCCCCTTGTTTTCCTCATCCAAATCTTAATGATTCTTCAAAGTTTAATCAAACTGTTATCTCCTAGCCAGGTATGGTGAAGTATGCCTGTAATCCCAGCATTCTAGGGGGCTCAGTAGGAGGATCAAAAGTTTGAGCCTAGCCTAGACAATTCAGGAATTTAGTGAGACCTTGTCTCAAAATTTAAAATAAAAAAAAAGTGGAGTGGGGGATTTAGCTCAGTGCAAAGATCCTGGGAATCCCCAGTACTCCCCTCTCCCACTAAAAAGCTTTTCTTCCTCCTCCTCTTCCTCTCAGAGTAACTGGTCCACTACCTTTATGCTGAGGAAGTCATTCTCTCCTAAGTACTGCTTGTGCAATTTTATTATATTTTACTTATTTATTTGGTACTGAGGATTGGACCTGTTAAACATGCTAAGCACACACTGTACATGCAGCTACAGCTCAGGGCCAATTTTGATATATTTTATTCTTCCTTTCTTTCTTTCTTTCTTTCTTTCTTTCTTTCTTTCTTTCTTTCTTTCTCTTTCTCTCTTTTTTTCCTCCCTTATTTCTTCCTTTCTTTTCTTCTTTCATTCTTTTTTTCCTTCCTCCCTTTCTTCCTTCTCTCTGTCTCGCTCTCTCTTTTTTGACACAGGGTCTCATTATGTAGTTCGGGCTGGCCTTGAACTCACAGCAGTTCTCCTTCCCAGTCCCCCAAGTGCTGGGATGCCAGGCAGATGCCACCATACCTGAGTGTATGTTGAACATAGTAGTTATAGTCTGTCTGTTACAATAATAATTGCTCATTTGGGTGTCAGTTTCTTAGAGCAAACACTTAATCTTTCTTGCACCAAGTAGGAATGGTGTTGTATGGTATCCTGAGGAACCAAAGAGAGTCTTAAAGGGGGAGAACAAGTAATAGAACTAAACAGAAGAGAAGGAACGTCTTAGAGTTCGTGTAAGGTGGTTTGTAAGACCTTTTGTCCAAGAAGGGGTTAGAAAATACATTTCATCTCATTTAGGGAATCTAATCAAATGGTATTTTGACAGGATTCTGAGGCTGCAGCATAGGTCCATGAAAAAGACAGCCCTTAGATAATAAAATCCTGGAGTGGCTCAGATATTTTGATAATTTTGACCCAATGTGTGGGATATTTTAAATAGCAAGCAGGTAGCCCATACATTCCAGGCAGTGTTCTAAGTACTGTATGTGTAACAATTCATTTGCATCTCTGGGAAACCCACTGAGGTCAGTTCTGTTGATACCCCTGTTTTGTAGTTAGGGGAACTGAGGTACAGAGAAGTTAAGTAACTTCCTCAAATCACGTACCTGGTAAATCTGAACCCAGAATCTGTGCGCTTGTATCTGTTATACTACTATTCTCTTGAACATAGAATTGGGGGAACAAAACTGGGGTAGCTAATTAGAAAGTATTTTCTCTTATGATTCTTACAGTCATGTCAACTCTTGTGATTTATTTTTTTAGGTTCCCTTGCCAGTTCTATTTTTGACCCACTCAAATATCTGGTGGGTGCTTCAGGAGGAATCTATGCCCTGATGGGAGGCTATTTTATGAATGTTATAGTGGTAAGCACTTTGGGAATGGAGTCTGGGAGCTTTGCTATTTTTCCAGGGCCGGGAATTGCACATGCTAGGCAAGTGCTCCACTCTCACCTGCTTTGTTCTAAAACAGTAACTGTTGTTTGGTTTAGAGAATCTTTATCAATATTGACTGAGCGCTAATCTTTTTTCTGAGAATCATGGCTACCAGCATTTACCTTTCAATTCATGAAAGAAAGTTAAGATCCTCAATATAGTCTAAAAAAAAATCTATCTATCTATCTATCTATCTATCTATCTATCTACCTACCTACTTATCTATCTGGAATGATAAAAAATGCAGTGATTATTTAAAAATTTAAAAAAAATTATTGCAGCAAAACACACATTGTCAGGCATGGTGGTGCATACCTGTAATCTCAGCATTTGGGAAACTGAGGTAGGAGATCATTGTGAGTTGGAGGCTGGTCTGGGCTACAAAGTGAGTTCAAGGCCAGTCTGAAATGCATTGTGAAACCCTGTCTCAAAAAGACAAAAACAAACAAATGAACAAACTCACTGAAAAAATAATTTGGGGTAAATTTGGGTTAAATTAACTTATCATATTACATATAATGCTGTACAGTGTTCTTTTATGTTTATATTCTTGCATTTGTGGATTTTTTTTTTTTTTTTTGTCTTTTTGCTTTTTATCAGTACCAAGGATCGAACTCATGACTGCCTGCTTGCAAGGCAGGTGCTTATGCCGCTGAGCTAAATCCCCAGCCCCTTTTTGGATACATTTTTAGAAGTGAATTTACTGGATGAAGCTTTTTATTTCAATATGCAAATGGTGAATAGCCTTCTGAATTGACGCATTATTTTTTCCCCTTTCATGGTATGGGGAATCATTTTTTAAAATGGGCTAAAATCTTGATTTGTTCTCAATTCTTTAATCATTTGGATCTATTTAAAAATATTCAAGGAGGAAAAATATCAAGCAGTTATGTAATTTCCAAATACAGAAGTCATTTAGAAAGATATTTTTCAAACTTTGGATTGCAAACCATTAGTGGTTGTGCACTCGGTTTGTCTTGTGACTCAAAAAGAAAAGAGAAATCACTGTGTATCTTGTGCAATACGGGTACATATATCTGATTTATGTGTGTACCGAATTATGCAAATTGTGTCTTAACTGTAGGTCGTGTTCATGACAGCTTGAAAATAATTGATTTAAAATAAATATCCTATTTCAGCACCTCTACTCTCTGAGAAGAGCCTGGAAGGGCAAAGAGCAGCAGCTCAGTAGAGATGTCTGACTCAGCCATTTGCTAGTGACAGGCAGGGCTGCTGCAGGCTGGGCCAAGAACAGTCAAAGCTAAAACCAAACAATATATTTTTTTTTTTTTTGTCTTTTTGCTTTTTATCGGTACCAGGGATCGAACCCACTACTGCCTGCTTACAAGGCAGGCACTTATGCTGCTGAGCTAAATCCCCAGAACCCAAACAATGTTTTTTAATCAACATTTTAATTTCTTTTGAAATTACTTTTCAAAAAATAAAAGTAAGCTGGGCGTGGTGGCGCATGCCTTTAACCCCAGCACTCAGGAAGCTAAGACAGGGAAGATTGCCATGAGTTCAAGGCCAGGCTGAACTAGATAGTGAATTCAAGGCCAACCTGAACTGCACAGTGACACCTTATCTCAGAAAAACAAAAAAAACAAAAACAAAAACAAAGTAATACATTTCAGTTAAATCTTTGCTCTCTACTATTGGGAAACAGAATGAAGAAGTGGCAAACGAATATTAACCAAAAAGCTTAGAAAGATTTTATCAGCCTTCAGGTTGATAACATTTATTTATCTACCTATCCATCTATTGACATGTCAAATGTTGATTACTTTTATTCAATTTCCGGCTAATGAAAATATATCTGGTTTATAGCATGGAATTAAACATCATAGTTCATTTTGTTGTCCAAAGTACACTCATATTGTAGTTCCCAGATAGGTCTGAAAACTCAGCTGTTACACCCATGCTTTGTTTTCAAAGTATTTGACACTCAAACATTGTTTTAAATGAAAAAGTGGGTGAAGAGGAAATGGAACTGAGGTTTTTATTTGCCAACAGATAGCTTATAATTATTATTTATCTCTTTGCAAGAATTTTCAACAAATGGTTCCTGTCTTCGGAATTGTCAGACTACTGATCATCATCCTGATAAGTAAGTTAGTCTTGTGGGTACTCTACTCTCAGGTTTCCTGGTGCAATCTTCAGAAGGCCTTTTCCTAGTTCCCAACCACTAACATGGAGAGTGACTGTCTGCCTAGAGTCAGAAAGAATTGTTGATATCATACTCTGAGACAGAAAAGGTAAATAGAGGACTTTTCACTTTTCTGAGCAGTACCTCGCTGATATGTTTTTTTTTTTTTTTTTTGTCTTTTTCCTTTTTATCGGTACCAGGGATCGAACTTACGACTGCCTGCTTGCAAGGCAGGTGCTTATGCCGCTGAGCTAAATCCCCAGCCCCCTTCACTTACGTTTTATATACTGGACTTCCTTTTTCAGAGACTGGAGTCTGTATATAATTTTTATCTGGAAAAGGAAAAGTTGGCAGGAGTGGTGGTGCATGCCTATAATCCCAAGCACTCAGGAGGCTGAGGCAGGAGGATTGCCACAAGTCAAGACTGGGCCGAGCTACATAGTGAGACCCTGTCTCAGGGGAAACAAAAGCTTAAAATCACTATTATCTATTTTCTTCTAATTTCTAATTTTTAGATAAAAAAAAAAAACAAACTGATCTGGGATAGAACCATTGAGCAGTGGCTAGGAACAAAAGGCAAGAGGTGGAGGTCAAGAAACCAAGGCTCAGATACTGGAAGGGTGGTTAACTTGGTTTTTGAATCTCTAAGAATCGTACAACAGTGCTGAAGCAGGGATGTGGCTGAGTCTAAAGCCACACAGATGGGATGAGGACAGGCTGTTGGAGGCAGGAGACACGCAGGTAAAGGCCTGGGTGGTCACTGAGTGTAGGACTGTTTCTGGAGTGCTGCGCTCACAGGGAGGCTGAGGGAAGAGGGCGGACCTCAGGCTGACTGGAAAGGCAGGGCAGAGTGACACTCTGTAAAGCCCGTGGGTTTTGGTATCAAGCTTTCCATGACCATATGATGGGTCAGGAACAGCTAAGTGCTCCCTTGCAAGAGATTATTGTGCAAATCACTTAACTGCAAAAGCACCAACAGTCCATCGTTATTCATAGTTAAGAACTGTCATCTATTGTAGATCTTGCCGGGCGTGGTGGCTTAGCCTGTAATCCAGCACTCGGGAGGCTGAGGTGGGAGGATCATTGCGAGTTCGAGACCACCCTAGGCTACAAAATGAGCCCCAGGCCAGTCTGAACTGCACAGAGAGACCCTGTCTCAAAAAGACCAAAAAAAAAGTTATTGTAGATCTTTCTCCACAAGGAGTGCCAAAGGGAAGGGAAAATTGTTGGCAGAGAAGGGAGAGCGAGTGAGTACCTGCGGGCCAGGAGGGCTGCTGTGGGTGTTAACTCACAATCAGTGGGGAACTGAGGCAGAAAGATGGCAAATTCAAGGGATGCAGCTCATTGTGAAGGCAAAGCCCCTGGGTTCAGTCCTCAGTGACTCCTCCAGAGATGGGAAAGAGACAGACAGACAGGTCTTCAGTCAATCTGTTGCTTTTATGTAATTATGAATGGATTTTATAGAAAAACCTCATATCCTCAGTAGGGAAATGGTTTTTGCCCTTCTTTAGTACTACTCAGGTGGGCAGTAAACACTCTTTGCTCAGGCATAGAATACCTGTGATTCTTTTTAAAAATTTTAATGCAATACAAATAGGCATTAATAAAGAATGAAAACAAAGTACTGTTTCTGAATTCTATGAAAAAACAGAACAAAGTTGCATAACATATAATTAGGGAATACCGATAATTAATATATTGTGCACCACCCCTGGCATGGTCTTCTCAGAAGATCCTTCCTCTTTCTCCTATTAAAAGTCATACCCTACCTCTGGTATTCCCCATGTGTTTCCCTCTCTATTTTCTGCATCGTTTGACACTGACATACTGTATGCCTTGTTTGCTCCCCAGTGACACTGTTGCTGTGATCTGTTCCTGGTTGTGTATCAACCAACTAGAACAGTGCCTTCCGCAGAGATGATAATGCATAGATACTTGTTGAATGAATAAATCCATTAAATAGTATGATGATAGTATCTACTTCATAGGGTTGGTGTGAGGATTAATAAATTAATGCATTGCAAGACTCTTAGGACACAGAGTACAACTCAACTATGATTCCCTGTGACGTTTAGAGGGAGCCTCAAAACATTTGATGCATTGTGGTAAAAATTCGGGTGCTTAATCAGGGTACTTTTCCTTCTAGTTGCATCGGACATGGGATTTGCTCTCTACAGAAGGTTCTTTGTGTCTGAAGGTGGGTCTCCGGTGAGTTTCTTTTTTGAAATAAAAAACTTTCTTACTTATAAAAAGGGCTCTCAAACATGGATTTATCTGTGATTTAGAGTAGCTGAGTATCAGTTTGGAAATTAAGAAAGTTCCTAAGCAATCCAGCTTTTGGATGGTCCTTTTGATTTGACTCTTTCATTGCCACACCTGCCACATTGGGAGCCATTCTGAAACGGGAGAGTAGGGATTTCCTTGTCCACGGAGAATCCAAAGCAGGTGGGAATACGGTGGAAAGCTGGGTGCATATGAATTTATAACATAGAACTGATAAAAGATTTTCAGTTTTTCTGGGATTAATCTTTGAATTTGGCGTTTGAGTATTTGTGTGTTTGTCATGACTTGTATTTTAATCCTGGATCCCATTTCTGTAGGATGTTCCTTTTGAGACCCCTGATGGCCCCTCAACTCCTATTCCCTTGGTTGGCTTTATATAGAATCATCCTAAATGCAATGATGATTAGAAAGAATGAGAAACAATTTATCTTGTGTTCTGAGAGTGGGTGAAAAAAATTTTTTTAAAGCTTTGCATGCATTAGAACATCACTTTTCTGAGCACATGGAGTCTTCTAGTTCCCCAGGCTTGTAAGTCCTTGTTTATGATATTTGTGTTTGAGTAAGAAGATGCAACTGATGTGTGCCATTAGCATTTTCTTCACTTCTGTTTTCCCTCTTTTTTTCCCCAAAGGTGTCATTTGCAGCTCACATTGCAGGTGGATTTGCTGGGATGTCTATAGGTTACACTGTGTTTAGTTGCTTTGATAAGGCACTGCTAAAAGATCCAAGGTTTTGGATAGCAATTGCTGGTTATTCAGCTTTTGTTTTATTCGCGGTGTTTTTCAACATTTTCCTATCTCCAGCAAACTGAGCCGCCCATTTTTAATTAATAACAAGAGTTAACCAGCAGAGGAATGGGAAACTGAGGAAACGAAGTGCCAGTTAATGGCAGCAGCTGTGGAAAGAGGACAAAACACCAGTTGACTCGCATGTTGCAAGGACCACTTATGAAAGGGCCATAAGACTTGGGGAAGTGGCTTCTCAATGCAAAGAGAAGGAAGAGGAAGAAAAAAACGCAGCATAGGAACAGCCAGCGACGGTGTCTTTTTTTAGGCATGTGCATAAGATGGTGTCTTTTTTTAGGCATAGGACGTATTTTGGAAATTGTTTGATAGACTTTATGACTGTACTATGCAGAGAATAAAAATTTTCACATCCGTGTCAGACTCTTGTGAATTACTTTTAAGTAGATCACTGTTGGATTGGTTACTACTGCTGAGGTGTTTGGTATACATTATTGCTAATCTTTTCAACAACCAGGATGGTAGATACCCCTTTGTATCTTAGAGATGAGATATAGAAATCTAAAAAATCAAGTATAGTTGTCCCTCTGTATCTTTAGTTTGCATGCATGGACTCAACCAACCCTAGACTGAAATATCTGAAAAAAATTGCATCTATTCTGAAAATGTAGACTTTCTTTTCCTTGTCACCACTCTCAAGTAATGTAATGACTACTTACAGAGCATTTACATTGTATTAAGTAAAGTATAAGTGTTAGGTTTTTTTTGGTGCAGTTGAGAGATGAAAAGACAGAAATAAAAAGCCCTTTATTGCAGACATGGGAGGGCTATAGAAGAGTGTAAGATCCCTCAAAAAGGGGACCTGGGGAATGGTTTTTATGGCATTGGGCTGGGGGTGGGACGCTTGGGTGATTGTGGAGTCCTGGGACTGGAGAGGGCTCAGTGCATGTGCAAAAAGGGGTGGGAGATATTTTTTCTGGAACTAGAAGAACAACACAGAAGTTACTTTCGGAGAGGTAAATTGTTTCTCGGGGCTGGTGCCCAGATGGGCAGATGCTATGTTAGAGGTCACTAAGCCCCAGGCTGGTAGAATCTATCATTCCCATCTTTTTGGTTTATAGGTGAACAGGAGTGGTGGCCATTTAAGGCTGCTTCCTGTTGGAGAGGAGCGTCAAGGTAGGGGCTGTAGCAGTTGTCAGGATGATGGGTTAGGCCCACATAGAAGCAGCAGTGGTGACAGCAGTCTCAGCCAGGACAGGGAGCTCTCTGGTAGGGAAGCCCTGTATCCTGGATTGAAGAAATTTTGAAAAAAAGTTTAATGAGATAGAGTGCTATAAGTTAAAAATAGGACAAATAGTATGAGCGGTCCTATAAAGGGGAAAAGATAGGGGGCTGAGCCGCTCAGAGAAGACCAGATGGAAAACCGTGTCAGTGATATTGCTGACAATGTCAGCAAGAGTACTCAGGAGTAGAACCCTAATGGGCATCTATGGAATATGAGGAATCTTTTTTGTCGTTCAGAGGAAGGACCTGCTCCATCATAAAAAGCATACATCCACGTTTTGTCTAAGGAGTGCTGGTGAAAGGAGGTATTTGTGATGATTATGTCTAAAGTGATGTGTTTTGTTAGTTGTTACATCTCACATTTGTGTGGAGGGACAGAGTTGACACTGCAGGAAATGAGGAGTGATGGATGTATTGATGGGTGTGTAGTTACTCACCATAACGGGTTTGTTATCAGTTTTGGAGATGGTGGAGTTGAAGGCTGGGCATCGTGGGAGCATAAAGGGCAGGGAGAGGCTTAGTTTGAGTTGGGGTTATTTATTGTGTGTAGTATTGGAGGATTTCGGTTTGAGCTTGACATTTCAGGCTGGGATGTATGTGGGAGACAGGAAAAGTGAGGGTGAAAGTTGTGGGGCAGGCAGGCTGTCAGTAAAGTTGTGTGTCCTAGAAAGACGAGTAGGAACAGTGGAAGAGGGGGTAAGATTGAGGGCTTTACTTTAGGCAGTGAAGCCTAAAATTGAGGTCAGGAATAGGAGTCTTGGTGTTGTAGGGAGAGACTGTCTTAAGTATGACAGTGAAGATGAGAACCAGCAGTAAAAAATGCCAAGGAACTAAAGGGAATAGCAGTACGCTGGGGCTAGGCATGTGTGCGGTGGAGGTGGTTCGGTCTTATGATGAGGATGTGTACAAAATCTACTAGTTTTTATCTGGAGTGTGTCCATGAAGTTGGTGGTTTGGGAAAAGAGCAGGTAAGTGCCCCAGAGGGGAGGTTTTGGCATAAGGATGACAGTTGTGAGTGAGTTGATGAATAGTATACTTTAGAGCAGGACGAGTAGTGACTGGAGTTAGAGGTTTATATAAGGCTCGGGTGTCTATACAAAAGCAGTTATGTAGCTAGTGATGTCTAAGGCTTGTTGAGAAGCTTTGATGTTTGGAAAATTTACTCCTGAGTGTTTTGGCTATAAGTGGGTTTGTGAATTAATTGTAGTTGTGTAGGTGAATACTGAGGTGAGGGCAAGGTCTTTGGGACAAGGGGGAGAAGATGAGAGAGATATGGCTGTTGTGTAGCCAATTTGCCTTTTTGTCTGCAAAGGTATTATGCCGAGAGATATAGTCTGATGTTTGGTGTCCCTTTAGTGACTGACCTATGAGTCACCTGTGTTGGAAATTATGCCTCTTCCAGCAGTTTGAGAATGAGAGGTGTATTAGTGATGGGGTCCCTTGAATAATTAATTAGATCACTTTTTTTGCCAAGTGATGTGAGAGTAAAGGATTTTAAATGTATATTTTGAGTCACGAAGAGGTTTTGGATGACAGTGGGCTTGCCTCTATTACCTTAGAGCCATTGACTATGGCACATTTTGCTCTTTTTTGAGTGTCTGCAGTGGTTGAGCTGTTGTATGTATCAGAAGCTGTAGGGAGAGTAGTGGTTAATGTGGGGGAAGTATGGGTCATCTGTAAGACCGTAACAGTTGTGAAGAGGGGTCTTCAGAGGTGGGAAATAAGGTGGATGGGTCGCGGGAGCTGTTGGCAGGAATGGTCATTGTAGGATTCCCTATGAATATTAAGTGAACTTGTAGGGGAGAAGGTGTCATTAAGACAGGAAGTGTTTTGTGTAAAATAAGGTCATTAAGGTAATGGAGTTAGTGGACTATATGTCTTAAAGTGAACTTTTTGGCTTCGTGAGTTAGTGTGGCTGCTGAGGAACGCACTCAGAGGCAGGGAGGCCACCATGTGTTGTGCTGTTAATTGTTTTGAGAGGTAGGCTATTGCTTGGAAAGAAGGTCCTTTTTTGTGTCCTAAAACTCTTATAGCATTATGATCTTGAGAGGTAGTGCACAGAACAAAAAGTTGGGTTGGATTAGAGGGAGTGAGGGCTGGGGTCTTTAAAAGGGCCTCTTTGAGTTTTGAAAATGAGGCGTATATAGGAGTATCGGGGTTGAGAGGCTCTGATAGAGGACCTTTAGACACCTTATTGGGTTAGGTTGGGTTAGTGTAGCAAAGTCAGGAATCCAGAGGCTAAAGAAGTTTGCTAAACCTAGAAAAGGTAAAACTGGTTGTTTCGTAGTTGGCACCTGGAGATCATGGAGATGGGCTTTGTGGTCTGAGGTTATACAGCACGTGGTGGGGGTGAGAGTGAGACCCAGATATTTAACCTTTGGGGAAGCTATCTGGGCTTTCATAGGGGACACCTGGTATTTGTGACTTGAAAGCTGAGAAGGGTAGCTGTGTGCTGTGTAGTTAGAGCATAGAATGGGGAATAGAGGAGAAGGTCATCTATATGTTGGACAGGGGTGTTAGGTTTAAGATTGAGAGCTGTGAGGTCAGCAGCAAGGGCTTGGAAGCCTTGAGGTAGGACTGTCTAGGTCAGCTGTGTAGACTGGACAGTGTCTGGATCTGTCCATGTAAAGGCAAAGAAATCCTGACAACCAGGGTACAAGGAAACAGTGAAAAATGCATCTTTAAAATCTAATACAGAAAAATGAGAGGTACACATGTTGGCACCACCATATGAGATAGTATAGTGTAAGGGCTGGGCACACCAGATGAATTGGCATTATCAGATTGCTAATAGCTCTGAGATCTTGGATTAGGTGGTAGGAACTGTTAGATTTGCAGATGGGGACAATAGAGGTGTTGTAAGGTGAGTGGGTGATCTTTAGAAACCTATTGGTTAACAAGCAGAGAATTATAGGTTTGAGCCCCCATTGACGTTCAGGGGCTTCTGGATATTGGGGAACACAAGGGGAAACTGAGGAGTCTTTGAGGCTAATTAGCAAGTAACATCGGTGGTACTGGAAGGACTGGAGGTGTCTCAGACTGTAGGGTTCACAGGGAAGAGGGAAGGGGCGGGGCTGAGTCAGTGGCACATGGCAGTTGGATTTGGAGTAGGAGAGCTGTGGGGAGAGAGAAATTGAGTTTTTGGAGTAGATCTCTGTCTAAAATGGGTACTGAACAGGTTGGGATAACAAGGAGGTTGTGTGTAAATTAAAGGGTTTGAAATATGCAGGGAATAGGTCCTGCCTGGAGAGGTCATGTGAGTCAGCCATCAACTCCCACAAAAGACACTGTAGACCGGGAACAACAGCTTGAAAACTCAGGTGGCCTCCATGTCAACAAGGAAAGAGAAGGTTTTACCTGAGATGTCCAGTGAGACTCAGGGCTCTGAGAGATACCTCGTTGGGAGACGTGGGCCCCATCGCCCCTCTTCAGCTGTGATGTTGAGCAGATCAGCTAGTGATGAGTGACATCATATCCTGTGAGGGTGGGGAAGGTGATGACTTACCTGCTCTCTGGAAGACAGGGGAGTCGCACTTTCAGTGACACTCTTGGTTGCAGAAGGGACATGGTCCCATTTGTGGCTGAGGGTTAGGACAGGCTTGTGCTGCGTGTTCTTTTCTGCAGCAATGGAAGCATGGTCCCGGGGGTGGGGTGCTCGGGTGGCACTGCTTTGTTTCCGTTTAGTTTTCCCAGAAGCCCTGAGTGCTGCAGCCAAAAGTTGGCATTTAATTTTAGTCTTTTGAGTTTTTTTTAATTGCTTGTCTCTATTATTGAAGGCAAGAAAGGCCAAACTGGCAAGACCTTTTATGAGGTTAGAAAGTCAAGATTTGTTTGGTGTCTGTAGTCAGACTTGGTTTGGGCTGATTTTTTTTTGGGGGGGGGGCTGATTTTTATAGCTGAGGTTTTTGTTGAGGGGAAAGGGTGACAATAAGGATGACATAAAGATCCTTGTAATATGTTATAAAAATTAACTGTAAAGTAGAGCTCTTCTATGTAGTGGTGGGGGTTTGTTGAGGTGTTTAGTCTATGGGAGATTTGGGACAGGTCAGAGAGAGTAAAAGGAACACAAACATGGATCAGGCCATTGGTATTTGTAACTTCGTGAAGTGGAGGAGAGGTCGTGGTGAGGGGCATGAG